TTATATTCAAGTATCAGTACTCTTACGGTAGGTAATATTCCGTTTGCCACTAAGCTAGTAATATATGGTTTTACGACAATGTTGTGTGGCATTCATTACCACATATTTTTGTAGCTCTCCTACAATAAAACTCTTGTATTGCTAAATATTTAGTTTTTCTGGATTAAAAATGCGTCATTAAAATGCGTTGCAATATTTCCTGTTAGTTTTTATTCAACTTTTAATCTCTTAGTTCTTTTAGTGGGGTTCATTATTCAGAATAATATCGTGAGTATAAAACAGTTACTGAATTTTATATTATTATCGCGGTTGCTGCGAATCCAGTAATGTTTGACACGAACAACGATTTTGCAGTAACCTTCCCTCTCGGAACTTTCATTCCCATATCTCCTCCTTAAAAGGGTCGCGCAGCCCTGTTGCATGCCTTGCGTAGAATTTTGGAGGCCTCTAGTGCTGGTTGAACAAGGATTTCCTCGTTCCCCCCACCCGCAGCGCTGCGATGTAACGACCGGCATTCACCTTGCGAATGGCGTCTTCCCGCGTGCCTGGCGGGCTGCTTACGACGGAGCTGCGCCGGTGGAGGCGGAGCCGCGCGAGTTGCGACGCATCTGCCGCCCCCACGGCGTCACTGCCACCGCCACAGCAACTGGGAATGCCGTGCATTGCGCTCTCGCTTATAGACAACGGCGCGGAAAGCCAATACGCCGCGCATACCGCGCCGTGAGATATAGTGGCGCGGGCACACGGCCAGAGCAGCAACTACCCGTCGCCGCCGACGCCGCTCCAGCAGCCGCTCCCATAGGCGCTCTACCGCTGCCCAGTCCCCACTTCTACCACCGCTGCCCCGCCCACGCCAGTCCACTCCGCTCCGCCCCTGCTTCCTACTCCTCCTCCTCCGCCTCGTGCCTTCTTTCTCTCACCCACTTCTTGTTATCTCGGTCCCATTCAAGCTGCCCCGCCCCCGCAAGTCCACTGCCCTCCGCCCCTACTTCCCCTCCTCCCTCGTGCCTCCTTTCTCTCACCCACTTCCTGTCATCTCGGTGCCATTCCTGCTGCTCCGTCCCCGGCTGACACTCTCGCCCCTCTCCTTCTGCACCGTCGCCTCAGCTGGTGTTGCTTTGCTCTTACTACCTCACCCTCACTTTTTCATTACCCTCTAGTTCTGTTCCTCCCTTGCTCTCCTGCCACGCAACCACTTTATCATCGTCTGCGCTGCTGCCGGCGGTTGCTCCACCCCATCCTAATGATTATTTCCTTTTTTGTCCCCTGCCTTTTCCCTATTCCCACAGCCCCACTGCCCCGTCTTTATTGCTTCGTTGATTGCACCTATTCCCCGCTGTCCCGCGAACGCTCCTGTGCCTCATATTCAAACTCCGTTATCTCCACCCCCTCTCGCAGCAACGCCCTCCTCGCCGTTGCCTCCACTTGCCGTTGCACCCCAGCCGCTCCTGTCCCTTTGTCACTACTCGTCGCCCCCGCGCTGGCCCTCCAGGGTCTTGTGAGCTTAACGTCCCTTCCTGATCCCAATGTCCCGCTCGTCCTGTTTTATCACAAGTTCCTTCATGCGCTTGGGCTGTTTTGTACAGTTTCAACTCAAACTCGTGAACGGAAATTCGAATGTTCCGGGACCGTAAACCGGGATCGGTCTTCAATAGTTTGTTCTTACTGAACAGTGAGAATAACAAGTCGTTCCTGCGACTCAATGATTTCTACAGATTTTCTTTGGGTCTTCACCAAAAATCTGAAAGACAAAACTCCTCATTTAATGATATTTGAATCGTCATGACAGTAATGAATCTTCGCAAACGTATTATAAAATATATTCTATAAGAATATCTTTATCTGAATGATTATGCCATTTCATTTTTTTGTGTTATTTTCATACAAAATGTAAGTTAAGCATGTTTTTCTGTACTTTTACTAAAATTGTGCATTTTGTTACGTAACATAAATATTAATATTTTGTCTTCTTTAATCTTTGGTCATTTTTCGTTAATTTTTCAAATTCTTGTCTTATTTTTCAATGAATTTTGTGCTTTTCTCATATTTTATCTTTTTATTCCACTTTTGCTGACTTGCTTGCAGTCGTCGCAAAAAGATTTTTCACATCTCTTGTTATCTACTGCCTTAGAATTATTGTATCGAATTATATTTTCAAATTATCGAATTTCTCATAAATATTTATGTACGTTAATAGTAAGTTATGCCCAAGGAGAAAAAGTAAGCACCGAAAGCATCAGATGTAAAAAAGTGTTAGTTAACTTTTGTCAGGTCTGATGGCAAGGTCAACCGCTTCTATAAATAATTTTAGCAGATTTAATTTTGTCTTCATAACGAGTCAACGGAGAAGGAGTGAATTGTGAATGTGCTAGATATTAGAATTACATTTTTAATAAAATGCTATTTAAACAGGGGAAATATTTTGAAGGTTTCGAAAATCCTACCGAAAATGTTGAAGTCATATTTATGGTAATATTTTCATATTGTTTAAGTCACAACTTGCTACGAAGTAGATAGAAAGATATGTAATACTGAGCGAAAAAACGGCTCGTTATCAGGATAACAACACTTATTACTAAGCCCTGGTAAGGAAAAAGGGCATAAATGTAGTTGCTAACATTAAAGGGGAAGGGGTAATCGTCTAATACGTGGTGTAGTCAGAATTCATATTTTGTGGGTCTTTGATACCGACAAAGCGAATGACGACAAATCATCTACCCGTCTGTTCGCCCACCCGTCTGTCCATGTGAATAGGCAATTTGCCGAACACAATTGTCGCGCGTGTTGCGTCGACAGGCATTATCACGCTAATTCCTAAGATTTTATATTCAGAGTTGTTTGTATTTACTTTTGTGAAATTATTGATGCAATAGTAGTTTAGAGTCATAAAATGTTGGTGCTTTTTATATTACAAATGTCCCGATTTGGAGACCCAGCATGGGCTGATTTTCGATAGCAGCTTAAGTTAAATATAAATGCGGACGTAGCGTTGATTTACTGTCTGGAACTCGTGTTTTAATCTATACTTTTCGTGATTTTCGAAAGGAAATGGAAAGATTTTATTACATAATTTGACCATTTGATTTACCAAATTTTGTAACGGTTCTTATGGTTCAAACTATAGTAGACGTCTACATCAATTTCAAAAGTTTATAGCAGCATGTAATGTATGTGCTTCGGGCGGCTTATAGTAATTTATAGGAAGTTTTTAATGTTCTAACGTTTCTACCTCGTCTCTAAGCGGAAAGTCATGAAAAAGGACGCCGAGGTGGGGTGGAATCATATTATTTTGTTTACTCTAGTTCGCGCTATTATGAATTAATATCAATTTCTCAGCATCATTTAGTAGTCTCAAGTATATTCGAGCGTTTTTTGTATATTAAGTCTGAACGTAATACTATTCATCGAACATGAGTTCTTATTTTTATTGTAGCTGTGTTCTAAAAGTTTTGAAGGCCCTATCTACTCTACAAGAGTGAAGAATTGGCGGCGAGTACATTCCACAAGTGAAAGTGTAGGCTTTCGCTCCCGGTGTAACAATCTACTTGACTGTCTGGGAGGTGCATCGTCGTAAGCACTGACGCCAAAGTATAGGTCGGCATGCTGCGACCTTCCTCAGGGAGGAATGCGTATTTGTCCCTGAGGAAGGTCGAGGCATGGCGGTCCTCGGCAGCTCCGGCCGCGGATGCTACACTTTCAACCCTGATACGTTCTCGGCCCGAATTTTAAAAGTCCTTGGAATGGCGCCTTCAACACTTTTAGAACACGGCTAAAATAAAAACAAAAGAAGAACTCATATTCGATAAAAAGTATTATAGAAACAATCACGAACCCAATCTTCTACCACATTTGTAGGTAATCACTTGGAGATATTTTCATTGAGTTCAGCAAATTATAGTTTCACACAAAAGTTAAAAAATTATTATTTTACTAAAAAAATTGTAATTATTCCATTCATCTTCTTGGAATTCTTTGCACATTTTGGATTTTGAATGTAACGTGAGCTTAACACTAGATTGCACAGGCGTCTGTCAGACGACGCATCTAGTGCCGAAAGGTTTCCCCACCCTTTGACTTCACTTCCCGATTCGGAAACTCTGTGTACCTTCATCGTATGACTAGCCAGTGAAATACACACAAATCGTTGTGCGCGTGCATATTTCTGGTACCCGCTATTTTAACACACGTCGTCAAATAGATTTCGCCTTTGTAGTTTCGTAAGTAACATTTTTGCCGTTTTATTGGGTAATATTGTAAATAATGAATACAAACTCCTTGTATTGTAGCATTTAAGTGTTGTTCTGAACAATTAGCAATAATGATGGCACGATTGCGATCAGAAGTAACCTCGCATGACAAGATTCTTCTGCAGATGCTTCTCAAACGCCATGAGTGAACAGCATGAAGCAAGTGTCTGATGTGAGAGTCAAGTCATTTACATGTATCTAAAAAAACCTTTAAAATATATTTCGTAACTCCATATCATAAATATTCAATCCATTAAATTCAGTGTTTTGTAGTAAAAATGAGATTTTATTTATTTGCATTCAAAGTAGTCTGCGAGACAGAACCTTTGTAATAATGCTTGGTCTTTCGTAATCTAGAGTTAACGCCCTGTGTTATAAGATTTCCTTTATTTTATTCAAAATAATCTGCGAGGCTGCACCTTCGTAATTATGCTTGGTATAGGGCACCTCTTGTAATTTAGGGATAACCCCCTGTGTTATAAAATTTTCTTTATTTTTATCCAAAGTAGCCTGCCAAAGTTATCCTTTGTAATAATGGCAGGTACAGGGCGCCATTTGTAATCTAGGGTTAACGCCCTGTGTTATGAGATTTTCTTAATTTTTATCCGAAGTAATCTGCCAAACTGAACCTTTGTCATAATGATGGGTGTGTCATAAAGTCACAATGCGCGTGCGCAGGTGCAGCTGAGCTTCCCGGCGTTCGCGCTGGACAAGCCCAACTCGTGCGAGACCAACTACCTGGACGTGTTCAAGACGCACACGGAGCTGCCGTCGCGCCTGCGCCTCTTCTGCGGCGCCGCCGCCGAGACGGTGGAGTCGGACACCAACCTCATGCACCTGCGCTTCTTCGCCATGGCCGACGCCCTCGACTCCAAGTTCGAGGCCGTCTACACCGCCTTCCGCGACAGCAGCTCCGGTGGGTGCGCGCGCCGCAGCGCCGCTGGCTCTTTCAGCGAGAGTTTAATATATATACATATATATATATATATATATATATACATATATACATATATACATATATACATATATACATATATACATATATACATATATACATATGATCACTATCATTTATGTCCGATTGTTTTCATTGTAATTAATGGATTTATAGTTTCATCAAGTAGATATAATAATCGTACTGATGGCAATGCAGTAAAAATTAATGTAATTGCTGGTAGAACAGTTCAGAAAATTTCAATAGTTTGCCCTTCTAAAATAAATCGGTTGGTATAAGAATTATGGAGTGAGGTGATGAAAGATTCTCCAAACAGACTTGGTGAAATGAAACTCAGAGATTGAACTGAATTGAATCGAATTGAATTGAATTGAATTGATGCCTTATTTTACGAGGCGATACTCGGGCCACCAGACCCACTCTTCCGTCTGACCACGCGAATTTCGCTACGCTCCTTTCACCTACTAGCAGAGAAAGGAGGTATTTCTTGGGCGGGAAACAGGCGATTTCAATTTAGCTCAGAGGCGTCATTTAGACTTGAGGATCTTTTACATGCAAGTAAATCTACTAACATGGGACAGCCGGCTTTATTTCTCCTCCGAAGGAAGGCGTACGAAGGATTTTTTCGCCCTTAAAAATCCACGGCTTCGATGACAACCCACTGAGTTTATTACTGAAGTGAATATATAAAAAGTTACTCAAATTTTCGTTACAAAGTCTAAAATAGTAATGAACGTTCTATAATGCTTCGTTACAAACTATATACTCTGATGAAGTCGTAGGCTTCCGTGGCCAGTCATATGCATGATGTTGGCTGTCCTGGTGACGCCGAGTCGAAGACTGTGTTTCCGACGTCTCGACCATCTTGTCGTGATCTTCCTCAGGGTTGATATGTTGAGGACGACCACGACAATATGGTCGAAACGTCGGCAACACAGCCTTCGACGCGACGTCACCCGGACAGCCAAGATCATATATACTCTTTACCGCCACGTATGTTTCCAGGTAGAGTATGGAGAGGGGATGACGCTTAGCATTGCGAGTTGGAGCAAGCGCACTCTGGTTGACCCGTATCAGGAGAGGGGAAAAGCGCCTCGAGCGAGGGAACTCTTAATATCACGGCGGGCGGAAGGTCCAAGTGACTCTCAGAATTATGTGGAGGTCAAAGTGGCAGGCGTCAGTATCGAAGTCATCTACATCTGACAATTCATCGGGGTCACAGAAGATGCCTTTTCCTCTGGTTGCAAGACCCAATTTTATCGAGTCACAGAGACCGCTACTCTACTCTAATTTGATGCGTAAGCCCTCTCCTGCTTACTAGGTACTCTCTGTGCCTTGGGATATAACTTGGGCATTAGTCACGTTGTACGTGTATGCTGGCGCGGATCATCGGGGAGGGAAATGAAGGAAAATTCTGTTGTATCCAGGAAAAAAAACACAGTAACATCACGGTTTATTCATCTCACATGTCGATTGCGTACAAACAGTAGAATATACAGAAACGAAGCCAAAAACCACGTTAAATCAGGAGATGCAGAAATGTGTCGACAGTTCATCCAGTAGAATATCCAAACACAATGGCTAATTACAACCTGTATCCGAAAACTTCAATGACACTCGTAGAGACGCCGGACTTCTCTCACATACTGCCTGCTGCTCCGGAGGGGGTGCCCGGCTTCATTCCCGCTCCCCGCATTGCCTCGCTGCACGGCTGTCGCACCGCCCGCTGGTCGCTCGTTTCCCATTGGCCGGCGCCTTTGCTGGTACGCGACCCGACAAACTTTGAGGGATGCTATTTCGCGCCGTTGTCTCGGCGCGTATTTTGAACTGCCGCTTACAGCCGCAACAATTCCCTCCCTAAAATTGTTCAGTTATTATTCATTTTAACTTGTTACAAAATTACAAGCAAAACATTTTCGGATAATCATTAAAAAGAATAAAATCTTATCGCAACAAAGATCTGAGTGAAGCCTCAAACATTTCACAAAATCTGCCATACGACACATTCGAGCAAAACATTTTTAATTTCCCCTCCTAAAATTTGTCTCTGGATCCGCTCCTGTGTATGTATGCATGTTATATCCCGGGTTATCACATTTGTGTATTTGCATTTTTGAAAGTTGTGGCCAAAACTCTTGTGAACGATTACAAGCCCTCCTTGGGGCAAATCTAGTCAATTGATGTTTCCAGACGCGTCAACTGCTAGTCCCAGAAGTGTAGTGCATGGTTTTTTCCAAGATGTAGCAGTGTACTTTTCCCTGTTGGATGGTAAAAAACCGGCGCCGATTCGATTTTCGGGTTTTCCCTATTTAGGTATCTCCCACCTGCGGGGCAACTCCCCAATCTAGAAGATCTGTAATCTCTAGACTGATTTCTCGACAAGCGCGGTATTGTAGTGCATGCAATCGTATGTATGTGAAAGATAATAACATGGCAAGGAAGAGGATGGAAAGAGCGTGCGCAGTCCGTGACCCGTTTGTAACGTTACTGTTCCGACTAGAGCAGAGCAGCCAGCTCTAGAATTCTCCTTTGAACGGTGTCTGAATTCGACCTAACCTTCTTGCGTGTGTTGAAATTCCTGCCACCATCGCAACTCTAACCCTAAAATCACTCAGTCAGAAACCCTGCAGTGGCATCGGTTTATTTCCTAACACGGTAAAATCCTGTCTAAGATCGTATTTTTTTACTTAACAGCATCCTAGATTGAATAAAAAGTCGCCCTCACCCGCGAATTTCATAGGATAAAAGCAACGAGAGCAAATACATTTATTCAAATAATAGTACTTCATCATTCGGCATCATAGAGCTCTCCAACAACTGCAATGAAACCAATTCCGGAGTCTAATTGTGCAGGAAGGAAGCAAGTAAATTGTATAGGTTTGAACGATTCGTTTCTCGTGGATTCAACAGATGATTCCATCACAAATAATGACGTAAATCTCTATCAATAGGCAATATATTAAAATCAGTAAATTTCTATATAAACTGAGGGAAAATTCCAAATTCGAGTTCTGCATTCTTAATTCTTAATCTACGAAATGTTGCGGTGTACTTGCCCTGTTGCAAGGATTTTCTTTCGCCGATCAAAGTTCAAGAACTTTTGCTGTTACAAAGTATAAGCAGGAAGTGTTCTTGTTGTAGAATGTATCGAAGGTTCGAACCTTGATAAAACATGGAAACAAACACCGAAGTATAAGAGAATACTCAACTAGCAATGGAGAAGTGGTAAACGCAAGAGTATCTGAGGCGGCGTTAAATATATCTTGCCGAAACCACCGCAGTAACGTGCTGGAGGGGGGTTAACATCTGTTCCTAGTTCTTCTTCTGAGGAAGCTGGTTGCAACCATGATAAAGGAGAAGAAAAAGAATTTGCTTTTAAACACGGACTGCTTGACTCTTCTACGCCATATTACATACAGTCCACGCATTGGAGACAATGAAGCATGTGACTGATTTGTTATCACCGACAAAACAGTGGATTATATTGTCCTCATTGACAAAACCAATAAAAAAGTCTTTATAATTGATATTGCAGTTACTCTGACCCTTAACTCAAGAAAACTGGATTAGAGAACATAAGGAAGAATGAAGCATTTGCAATAGAATTGAAACAGATCTGTCAGTTGGAGAAAGTTCTTATATGTGCCTTGGTGTTCTCATCGAAAGGAGTGATGTACAAACATTTTAAAAAGAATTGAAGAAATTTGTAACAACCAATAAAATTTGTAGGCAGTCTTACTTCATACGTGTCACATCGTTAAAATGTTTTTACAGTAAACTCAAGTGAGATACATTCACGTTTCAGGGAACAGAAGTACCCTTCAATAAATCACACCTCAAGCTATTCTGTACTTATGAGGTCTAAGCGGATAGCGTTCTTGGCAGAATATACAGTATGAATCTTCGTTTACAGTATTCGTATACAGTATGAAACGTTTTTTCCCCACACCTATCTTTAAAAATATAATACTCACCCTCATATTTCTTTCTTGATTTGTTGTGTGAGAATGTTTCTAAGGCAGCAGTTGCTGCTATTTCTATTTCGAAATCGGAACTATATTCACTGATGCCGAGAATGAACTATATTCAAGCGTCTTTCAATTATTCTCTTTTCTAAAAATAGTGTCGCCACTCGCCTAAAAATATTAATACTAATTGATTATTACGGCCCGCCGTCTTGTCGCTCACTACATTCTCCTGTGTAGTTTGTTCGGATCTCGCAAACGTCGTTGAAGACCGATTTGTGCGCTAAACTCGTCGGTTATCTTCCATTTCCCACAGTTTTTTTATTTAATTATTTAATTAACTCTGATTAATTATAATTAATCAAAAACCCTAAATGCGACACCACGCTGAAGCTTCATAGACTGGGAGATAGTGGCTTCAGGCCTCGACGTGGATAAAGTTTTGGAGATAAGCTAATGGCTGAATTAAAGCTATCATTGACTGAAAGAGAAGTCCAAATTCTGACTGCTTCTCTTAGTTACTTCCGTGGTTTCCTAGAATCATTTGAGAGGTACCTTTTAAAACGGGTCACGAACCACGGGTGATTGTTTCTTTCTTTTCCTATACTCATTATCATGATTATGGTAAAGTTAGGGGATAACCTCGTACTTTATCTAACATATTCTCTTGATGAAGTCACGCACACCTATCGGTCATATGGAAAGTGGCAATGGTTCTGAACCATCTTAAGAAAAAATATTGTCGCTTCAACTTCAAGTTTAATAACGACTTTATATTGAATTATACATATTTTGACACATAGGAGGCCAAAAATCAGGTAATACTGACAACCTCTTCAATACGTAACGATTCTTACGTGAAGGTGTTAATAGTGACGTTTGGGTGCCTTTCGTGAATTTCCTCTTTGGGCGAGAACACAGAAAGGCGATGGGCAGGACGTCTTTGGTGCAGTTTCTGCACATGCTCTCCCAATCATCTAAGCAATGTTTTGCCAAATGAACGCATTGGAAGCCACTGTTGATTACACAAATGCAAATATCATTGACTGGGTGATAATATATCGAGCAGATACAAGATATTCAAGAGACACAACAGCCTTCAGGAAGACTACGAAAAGATGGTGAGAAAGTCGGCCTTCGACGCCGCGGCCTCCGGACACCATACTTTCCTCTTTCTTGCTCTCTCCTCACCCCTGTCTTTCTCTCACATTACATTACCATGTATGTCGGCAGCTTTTAGCTCGTTCCGCCCGAGGTCGTGCCCCGCAGGTGGGAAATACCTAGATGAGGAAACCCCTACAATCCGACCTGTAGGTCTGCGCGGAAGGAACACCGCCTTCTTCCCTGACAAAAACACTACACTTTCGGGACCATGAATGAACAAATCAAATGACAAATAATCACGAAATAAGCAATAAACCCTTCAACCCTCTATGTTTGTCACAGACTTTCAGAACTGCCTAGTAAGGGCAAGAGGAGGTGGACGATGATGTTTGGAGAGCAACTTGAAGGGTTTCGCTTTGGTCGTGCTCACCTTTCAGGCCAGTGTGCGTGCCTGGGCGCAGGTGGGGCGGGGCGGAGGGGCGGGAGCTGGCGCGGCAGCGTGCCGCGCGAAGCGCCTCCTAATGCATATTTATAGCGGCATAATCGGGTTCGACGGGGAATTTGGAAGGCGGCGCAAGAAGATGAAGAAATAAGACAAAGCGGCGTCGGCGGGGGTGGACGGGTCGGAGGCGGCGGTTGGAATTCCCATCTGGCGCAGCCCTCGGATGCCGTAGGCGCTGGGAATGTGCCCCTCCCCGCCCTCTTCCCCCCCCCGTCTTCCTCAACGCTCTCTCCGCCGCGCGCCTCCGCGACGCGCAGCCACCTTCAGCATTCGTGGCTTCCTTTCCGTCCGAGGACGCTTTGGGGTGCTCTAAGACGAACAATTTGGCATCAAACAAGTGACAAGAGTTGCAAACAAATTCTGAAAGGCTCTAACAATTGCCGCCAATAAATGCCTTCAACAATGACCTTGCACGCACATCGAGATGTCAATGTGCTGAGAAATTAACTGGGGACCATTTCGTTGAGCAGTCCTGGTTTCCTTTCTGTTCAGTTCACGCTTCAGTTGACGCTTTGGAGCACTCTACTTGGTACAATTTACCGGCAAATAAGCAAGATGTTGCAAATACTGCACATAGTGAGAAAATTCATGGTATTAATTGAGTTAAAGAGGCTCGTTCCTTTCTGTCCATTACATTCGGAGCTTCCTAGCGTTGGCGCTTGGGAGTGCTCTAGTAGCTACAATTCGGCGACAAGCAAATGATATATGTTGCAAACAAATGTTGCCACGTAGCTCCGACAATGAGCTTGCGCGCACGTCGAGAATAAGTTGAGAAGGAATAAGAGGTAATAAGTTGATCAGATGTAGTTTTCTCTCTGAGTTTGGTTCGGAACTTGAGTGCTTCGGTGCTTTGGAGTGTTCCTGCAAATGTAATTTAGCGACAAACAAAAGTTGGCAATAAATCCAGCCAGATAGCTCCAACAATGATCTTATGCGCATGGGTGCGACAATAATGGCCACGAGCAACGTGCTGAGACATTAATTTGGCCAAAAACAGTCTTGCGTTCCTCTTGGAGCAAGAGAAAGCTGGGCTCATCGTCTAATCTAACTTACATTTTGAACGTATTTAAAGATGATAGATAATTTGCTAAGATAAAAAATAGTGGGGGGCAGAAATCCAAATATAGGATGAGCTAGTGGAGGGAAAGTTCTGCAACAAAGTAAAATATAACAATGAATAGAAATAAATGGAGAAGGTATGAAGCAAAAGTCGATACCTTCTTCTTTCCCTACATCATTGTTTCAGACATAAATTAAAGTTTAGCTAGGGATATGCTAATTTTCTAGCCAGATGTTGTAACACGTTCATGTTTCTACATCTGTGAGATTCAAAAACCAGGATCTGTCTGTTTTCCGCCTATTTTCTTCGACTCGTTTCCCTGTTTATCGCCGTATATCGGAACATCTATATTTTTTGTTCATCTTTCTACTTTCTATCCCACTCTTTTTCTACTTATTATTTTTGTACGTCTTCCCAATGTTCTCCTATCACAGAAACTCTTTTTCTCAGACCCAAGCTTCTTTTACTGTACTTCTTTTACCAAACCAACTATGCAAGCTTCTTTTACTGTAGGCTGGTTCCTCCAAATACTACCGTAGCTTTTACGGCGTTTAGGTTCCGTCATTTACTTTATTCTTCCTCTTTTCTGCACCCGCTCAACTCGTGTTGTCACGCTGCACAATCAGTCTTCTCATTCTGAATCATTTCGTTCCATCGTACCTTATCCTTCCCTTCATTCACGTTCGTCTCATACATCCTTCTGTGACGTCATCAGCTATAATCCTTCCCTCCGAGTGGCCTGCCCCTCCTCTTCGCGCCTCTCTCGTGTCTTTCTCCCAACCGCCTTCCGCCTCGTCCTTCCCCCTCTCGCCAACGTCTTTCCCTTCCCCGCAACTGCAAAGTTCCCTCTGGGCTGTCGTGCCCCTCAGGAGGGGACTGTCGTGAATTTAACTTATTTGAAGAATCTGTGTTGCGTCATATACAAGTCCCGACCCTATGAGAGGCAAGTATGCTACGAGACGACTACTTGCGCGTCGCGTGACGCGAAATGTGCTGTTAAGCGCAGTGAATGGGCGAAGTCACCATTGTTCGCGCTCGGGAACAAGAAGTCTAGGACGACGGGGCTCAGCACGACTTACGCCCGCCGGAGAAACTTTGCAGCTCTTTGCGCAGTAGAGAAATCTCTTACGGCATAATCTTACTTGTTGACTCTATTTTCCGTGTGCGTTTGCATTTCTTGTAGCTTTCTCTCGGTTCTACTGTATCTTTGTTCACTAATACTATTCAGTGTATCGCTAATATTTTCTCTCAACTGCAATTTCTTCTTTGTTTCAATTTTCAATATGATATCTTACTTCTTGACTATATTTTTCGTGTGCGTTTACATTTCTTGTAACTTTCTCTCGGTTCTATTGTATCTTTGTTCAATAATACTATTCAGTGTATCGCTAATATTTTCTCTCAACTGCATATTCTTCTTTGTTTCAATTTTCTATATAATATATTTTGACTTTTAACACTTTTTCTTCAACTTCTTTTTTCTGTCCTTCAAACATTTATATCTGAATTATGCAAGGAGTTAATTATTATATTCATACATATTCAATTAGAATGCATTCAATTATATTTACTCAAATGAAGTTCTTACTTTCACAATTTAAAATGTTATTTACAGACTAGTTTCAGTGTAATATTGTGGTACATATTTTCATATGTGAGAAATTAGTATGGATAAATATTGAAAGGCTTTTCAATTAATTAAACTAAAAATATTAACATATGACTTGCATTTCTTTTAATACAAATATGTAACCCCAAGAATTATGTTGTCCTTCGTTACAAGACAGCGATAGAAATGTCTCATGAAAGCGAATTTTAATCCAAGATTCATCTCCTATACTTTTACTATTTACATTTAGTTATCATTTAAATTATAGCATGTTCTAGCTTATTGTAGAGGGTGAGCCAACTAAGACATAATTCGGTTCTTATCTTTTGACCGTGAAAGTTAGGTAGATTCCTTATGCAAAATTGATGGCATTAACCGTTGTTACCTAGGTACACCATATTTAATATTTGCTCTATTTTTATTACAAATATATAGTATGAACTTTAGTTTTTAAATGGAACCATTTACTAAATTTTAGCACATTGTAAAATACTTAGAGACGAGTTTACACATCATAATATTTCATTTAGCGAAATTTATTTTGTAAATATGGTTTGATTCCATAGGTTTTCTTGTATGTAGCTCTTTTTTATTCGGACTTTCACTTGTCACTAAACTGGAAACATCGTAAGTCTGTCCTTCAGATAAATGTCTCAGACTCCCAAGAAATTATCATCTAATTTTGTTCATACTTCGTTTTAGCAATAGCATTTTTTGTGGAGCATTATGCGAGGCTCCAAGAGCGCTCCCCGGGCAAGTTTCAGATCTTTCCTTCCCGCATGTCTGTGTGTTTTCTACCCGCATGTCGCGCTGGACCATGGCACAGACAGAAACCCACATGATCAGCATCGATTTAGACTGCGTTCACGGGGAGTTACTCGACAGCGCCACCGAGAAGCGCTGGTTATCTTTTTATCCAGCCACCAACCGGCGCCTCTGACCTTGAAAAAGGAAGGGCTACTGAGACACAACTGTGAGCGCAGGCGGTCGCATGACAGCCACATGTTCAGATCTAAACCAGTGATTTCAAGGTCTCCTATTGGTGACCGTGGCACTCTTTGTGGCTTTGTGCCATGCCACACAGCAATTAGCGACTAGAAAGGAAACTATCTGTAGTTACCTCACCGTTTTCCAACTTGGTGGAATCGCATAGAAAAAGAGGATATGTACATAAAAATAAATGTAAAGATATATATGAAAATAATAACTAACGTTCATCAATTTATCTAACTCCCACCTAATCGTATCTCATGTGTAAGGCGTAAAAGCGAACAGGGCGCATTTGATTATCTACTGCTCACTAGTAGCGAGGCGGTCAACTGCATGGTGGGTTGATTTCGTCGTGGTACCGCTGCCACAAACTCCCGTTGATTGCAACATCCTTGACATCACTTCTCTAAACTCAGTGGCGCTTTCGGGTGACCTGGTGTGAAGGCTGCTGTCTACAACTGCGGTCGCTGCCGGTGGCCAGAGAGCGCCACTGTGCCGCTCGTGCGAATATCGTCATTTAAACCAGCGCTTTACCCGCAGCAGCTCCACTCGGAAACGCTCGTGAGTGGCTGCGTGTTAAGG